TTCCGCTGAGTGTAATCATGTTTGTTGTTTGTAAGTGTTTTGACAGTGTCCCAGTTGATGATGAATGAAATGAGCAACAATTGCATGTTTTCACATTAACGACACAACTGCACTGTTTCTTTTAAGGTGAGCTGTGTAAGTTATATGGCTTTTGTTGAAAATGAACATGCATCGGACTAATTTTTTCAGGAGATACACATAAACTCAGTATAAATGGACACCAGAATTTTACCAATGTGGGGAATCGAACCCGTGACGAGCGAACGCTTTAACCACCCCACCGCCATACTAATTGATATAATACGTAACAGCGTGACTATTATATTACCCGAGCCATAATATTGCTGGAATATTGCTTAAACAGCGTACAGCCATGCTCAATCGCAATATATCGTCTATGAGACATTTTTTCACAGGATATAGTAAGAGCAAAAAACATCTATCTTAAGTGGACTGCAAACATGTAAATGTTAGGTTAATACTGTACTCAGAACTATTCCATCTGTATGATTTCGTCTTTTAATAATCCAATATGGACTTCAGCATCGACCCACGCTATTGGGATCAAGATGCATTCAATGGGTCTGATCATCATGCCCCAATAGTTTCCTCTCTCGACGAGCATGGGCTGTTCAAAACCAATTTTGCTATCAATGTTTAAGAACGAGCAAACACATTCAAGCTTGGATGTTTTTGCGTCGTTAAATTGATCTCAGTTGCACTGCGTTGCATCACAACCGACCTGCCTCTCTTATTTTCTCTCTTGTGGCATATGAAAATTAAATTAAGCGTTCCTGATACATGTGATTAAAACTGAATATTTACATTGTTAATTGGCTCTTGTTATCGATTAGATAAGAAACGTCTTTGTTATGGATTAAGCTACGAGAATCTTAATGATATTTCTTATGTACGTGTTTCAAAACAAGCCACGTTCTCAGGAGCAGTCAATACAAATTTCAGACCATATCCAGTCTATCCACAAAACATTCGGGGAATTAAACGATCGGAGAAGAAAACAACCATTCCACCTGTTTACCATTACATCTATTTCTAAGCCTCTCCACAAAACAAAACAAACAAACAAACTATAAAATTGAGGAAACAGGGGAAGATCGATTGATCGAGTTTAATTTCACTCCGCTTTTAGCAATCACGGCGTAGGACATCAGAAATGGCCTTCATACATTGTACCCTTGTGGGGAATCGAACCCGGGTCTTCAGCCTAACGAGTGACCGTTGTCATACTTATCACTCATTATGCTGCACGTGTGACAAAACGACACGTCTTAATTTGAGCTTTTATATTTTAGTCAAGCAGTTTCTTGACGTGAGGGTGTAATGACTTGAATTTAGTGGCTTGGAACTTCTTTCCCATGAAAAACAACAACATTTTATCTGGTATGCATTGGCAACCAAATGGTGATGATGTTGTTCAGAGCTTTCAAAAAGAGGAGACTCTTCATATGATCCTTGTTTATCGTAGGTAATATCGAGAAGATTCAATTTTAAACTGATTGTGCCCTATAGTTTTGTAACTGGTAACTGAATGGTGACAACGTAGCTCAAAATCAAATGAGCCGGGTGTACCAAAGAAACTGACCATGTCTTTGAATTAATGTGCACCTACCATCAGTGTTCCCACTTGCAGAATGCCATGATCAGGAATGATCTAAAGACACGTTTTATTTAACCTAATCTTCCATAGTTTCACCATCAGATAGGTGACACACATGCTCCATAATCGTAAGGAATCGTTAAAGTCCATTCCGACTATTTAGTTCAGCTTAAAGATCCCTATCTGACCCGTGAAGGTCCGGGTTAGAATTGATCTTCAGTAACCAATGCTTGTCGTAAGAATCGACTATGGGGATCGGGTGGTCAATCTCACTGGTTTGGTTGACAGATGTCATCGGTTCCAATTGCGCAGATCGATGCTTATGCTGTTGATAACTGGATTGTCTGGTCCAGACTCGATTATTTACAGACCGCCGCCATACAGCACAGGCCCTCGTGTCTTTGCGAGGATTAAAGATTTAAAAAATGTTTTTGAGATGACCCCCGACTCGAAATGCTCCACAGTACATTCCATCATGATATATGCAAAGCATTTAGATAGACCGTAGATACTCCATAGATACTTGCTAGATAGACTGTAGATACTCCGTAGATACTTGCTAGATAGACCGTAGATACTTGCTAGATAGACTTGCTAGATAGTCCGTAGATACTTGCTAGATAGACCGTAGATACTTGCTAGATAGACCCTAGATACTTGCTAGATAGACCCTAGATACTCCGTAAATACTTGCTAGATAGACCGTAGATAATCCATAGATACTTGCTATATAGACCGTAGATACTTGCCAGATAGACCGTAGATACTTGCCAGATAGACCGTAGATACTTGCTAGATAATCCATAGACACTTGCTAGATAGACCGTAGATATAGACCGTAGATACTTGCTAGATAGACCGTAGATACTCCATAGATACTTGCTAGATAGACCGTAGATACTTGCTAGATACTTGCTAGATACTCCATAGATACTTTCTAGATAGACCGTAGATACTCCGTAGATACTTGCTAGATAGACCGTAGATACTTGCTAGATAGACCGTAGATACTTGCTAGATAGACCGTAGATACTCCATAGATACCTGCTAGATATACCGTAGATGCTCCATGGATACTCGTAGATAGACCGTAGATACTCCATAGATACTTGCTAGATAGACCGTAGATACTCCATAGATACTTGCTAGATATACCGTAGATACTTGCTAGATAGACCGTAGATACTCCATAGATACTTGCTAGATAGACCGTAGATACTCCATAGATACTTGCTAGAAATAGCATGACCAGAAATTATTGAGAATTTTGGGAATATGTTTAATTGGATTTCTAGTATAAACAACCTTGACCACCTATCAAGTGCTTGGTTGCATTCAAGAGAGACAACTCCGTTAATCTTTTCATTAGTTTGTGAAGAGTTATCTCCCTTTGTTTACTTGCTAGCAGACGACATTTTCAGTGATCCTCAGTATGGATGATTTAGAGAAGAGGAAGTTGATTTTAGAGTATTATAAGAAGGACATCAGATCAGCTAAAGTGATTTCAAGTAGAACAGGCATCCCTTTGTCCACTGTTTATCGTGTTTTGAAAAATATTGCAAATGGATATGGCATTGAGCACCAGGGAGGCGCAGGTAGGCCCAGAAAATTGACTGTCGGTGATAAGAAGGCGGCTTGGTATTCTTGTTTCTAAAAACAAACGAAGTAGTTTAGAAAACTTAAGGCTGGATATGATTGATAGAGGAACTGTGGTTGACTGTAAGGAGACAATTAGAACTGAGCTGCATGCAATGGGTTGGCAGAAAAGTCGAGGAATTCCATCACCGATCGTGAAACCTGAACAAAAGGAGCGAAGGTTTAAACTGGTGCTTACAGCATAGAAATTTTACCTGGGACAATGTGATTTTCTCAGATGAAAGTTCTGTGTGGCTGTTTCCTAATACACTGAAATTCTGGACCAAACAAACTGAAAAACCTTCGTATCAGCGCCCAAAGCACAGTTCGAAATATAACGTGTGGGGTGGCATTTCTGTGTTAGGGTCAACGCCCCCCTGTGTATTTGAAGGGGATATGAACAGTGAGGGGTGCACAGATATTCTCGAGGGACATTTACTTCCATCTGCTCACGTGTTCTATGAAATGTTTTTGATTTTCCAGCAGGACAACGGCCCAAAACATCGTTCAAAGCATCCACAGGCCTGGTTTAGGACCCAAAATATGACATTATTAGATTGGCCAAGCTATATCCCTGACCTAAATCCAATAGAAAATGTTTGGGGACTTATGAAGGAAAGTTTTAATAAGAAAAATCTGACACATATTGCTGAAATGAAAGAAGAGGTGGTTCGATATTGGGACAACATGGGCCACGACTTTCTAACTTCTTTGATCAGTAGTATGCCCCACTGCATTGAAGCCTGCATTGCTGCCCATGGTGACTTGACAAAATACTAACTGTTCACCTGTCTTTGAATCTGGAGTTATGTTCTGCCAATATTCACATTTAATACGTGAGTAATGAGTGAAAATTGCTTTTTTTACAACCTTTAAATTCTCAATAATTTCTTGTTGTACCGTAGATGCTCCATAGATACTTGCTAGATATACCGTAAATACTCCATAGATACTGCCTTTTCCCACATGTCTGAGATATGATAGAAAGACGTGTGCGCCAACTCCATGGGCCGTTCAGTATCATTGTCATTTCATACTGTAGTACCACATATAATGACATATTATTCAGCTCAGTAATATATGGGAACTATGCTTTTAAAAAAATTCGGATGTCGATCATTCTCTAACGTATTGGCTCAGCTCTGGAACGCTCTTCCAACTGAGTTAAAGACGTTACCATCAGTGACCAAACGTCAGCTCAAGACGTTCGTATTCAACTAGCACTTTGTGTTCCACTGACATGTACTTTCCACCTTCCCTGTCGCGCTCCGAGCCTACGTGTGTATGGAATTTAGTGCTATATAAGCAACCTTATTATTATTAATATTATTAGAAAAAATGCAGATTGTCCAAATATTTGTTTAGCAACTCAATCACCAAATGCCACAAAATAGTATTGTAATACCAGAAAAGAATGTGTCCTACTGTAATGGACCCCGCACCATTTGTCTTATGTTTTGAGGTCAAAGATCACTCAGGCTCATCCTTTAATGTAATATTAGTGTTGTTAAGAAACATATTCCTAGGATGAAGGACGAAGATTTACAAGGGACGGTAGACTCTGATTTCAGTATAGATAGATGGTTAGTCCTTTAGGTTTCATTTGCTCTATATATTTCTAAACGACAAAAGCGTATCTTCCGTGTTCTTCCACGGCATCAGACTTTGATCCCCCATGCACACACAGCTGACATTTGTACATTCGGTTATTTGTAGGCTCACTCATGTTCAAGTCAGCCATGCAGTACCAATCACATTTGCATCCCCGTCAACACAGCTAAAGCCCATGTATGTGTACGTATTGGTGCGTTCATACCACAAACTACTGACGAGACAATGCCATCAAAGACTGCAACAACAACAGTCACTGCGGCAACTACATCTGCCGCACCTCCAACAACAATTGAACTGACTACTTCCACGACAACAGCTCCGACTTCAACATTCAAAGCGACTGCGGCAACCACATCTGCCGCACCTCCAACTACACTTGAAGTGACTACTTCCACGACAACAGCTCCGATTCCAACATTCACAGCGACTGCGGTAACCACATCCGCCGCACCTCCAACTACACTTGAAGTGACCATGACGACAAGTCCCATGTCAACTTCAACAACTTCAAATGGGACTACAACATCTGCTGAACCGACTACATCAGCTCCAACAGCAACTTCGGCTGCCACAACGACAACTGCTCCATGTATGTATGTGTAAGAGTATTGTTCAGTAGTGTGGCGGAAGCAGCAATAATATATCACCAAGGCGGTAATTATGTTTTCAGTTGTAACATATGATTCAATGCTAAACGAATGTTGTTCGTTACAACAGCTTTTGCACGCTGCCAATAGGATCTTAGAATAATTACAGATTGTACTCTTAAAATGTGAAAATTAAATGGAAGATTTCAGTTCGCAGAACAAAAAAAACCATTTCTGGAGTGCATTCTGTGTGAGTAATGTACCTCTGTGTTTTGCAGATAACGGTACATGTGTAACGGATATCGACTGTGCTGTTCCTCCTGGACGGACGTGCTCTGGTGGTGTCTGCATATGTTCCATCGGATACGACATGGACGAGACCAGCGTTACCTGCAGAAAGCTGACAGGTAAACATCAATTCAAGATTTTTGCATTAAACATTTGGGTTACCGTAAATATTCAAGAGCTTTAGCAATTTTACTTAATTACATTCTCAAATGCTAGCTTGCATAGGTTATAGCCTAGTGGTTAAAGCGTTCGCTCGTCACGCGGAAAACTCAGGCTCTATTCCTCACATGAATGTAATGTGTGAAGCCCATTTATGGTGTCCCCCGCCGTGATGTTGCTGGAATATTGCTTAAAGCGGCGTAAAACCAATCTCAGTCAGTCAGTTATACCAAACGGGGATTGAGTCCTGACTAAGACCAAAACCTTAGAATTTTCATTTTTATGGCGACATGATTGAGACTGGTGCTATCGGTCGCAATGCGGTCATGGCCCCTGGTGTGACTTTCTGGCGAGCTTCTGCCGAACAGAGCCGACCAGGGCCCCGTTCCTCAAAGCGATTGTACCGCTAAGATGATTTTAACTCCCATACTTTAACATAGGCTTACGACAGTCGTAGCGCTACGATCGCTTTGAGGAACGGGGCCCTGGTCGAGACTACAGTGACAACATCTGCGACTGACTTGCGACTTGAGTACGAGTAGTAAGATCATTTTTGCGACCAGTTGCGATCGTTGCGACTCCATGCGAGTTTCTTACGACTCAAGTACGACGATGAGGACCTTTTAGAAGACCGCATTGGGACCTAAGCAACTTCTCCAAGACACCAATTGAGAGTCTTAGCGGGTGCGCTCCCAAAATCGTATAAAAAAGGACCGGGCCCGAATGTGATCTCGTGATTCGTCACCTGACAAGCACTGGAAACACTCAGAAAAAGATCAATTTTCTAAGCCGGACCTTCACGGGTACATTTGGTATCGACTGTGAATGAATGGACATATGTTCTAACATAGGTCAAAGGTGTCAAAGACAACACAATACCAATATACACTGTCCTATTAAACTCTTTTCTCACTTTCTTACGACACGTGAAATTCCGGGTTAGAATTGATCTTCAGTAACCCATGCTTGTCGTAAGAGGCGACTAACGGGATCGGGTGGTCAGGCTCGCTGACTTGGTTGACACATGTCATCGGTTCCCAATTGCGTAGATCGATGTTCATGCAGTTGATCCCTGGATTGTCTGGTCCAGACTGGATTATTTACAGCCCGCCGCCATATAGCTCGAATATTGCTGAGTGCGGCGTAAAACTAAACTCATTCACTCTCACGTTGTTACAGAATGTTCATCATTTGGTTCGGGCTTCATCCTCTACGTGGACAAAGTCATCAAAGGGTACGCTGTCTACAAGTCTTACACCACGCCCGCAGACTGTGCCCGCTTGTGCCTGAATGCAACATCTACGTGCAGATCTTTTGAAATGCAAGACACAGTCTGCTTTTTGCAAGCAGTCACGTGGTTTTCAGTCCCAAACCATAAACGTGTGTCATTTCAAGGTGTTAATCACTACCAACGAAGATGTGCCTGGTGATACATACAGGTTTACTGTCACTGGGAGAAAACCATGCTAACACAAACCAATTCTAAACACAATCCTTCGATTTCCGGTCCTTGAATAGAAACAAGATATTATTTAATGCACCTGCAAATAAGATTAAATTGTAAATTCTCGCTGTGCAGTATTATTGGGATAAGATCAAATAATGTTGATCTGTGACATTGTCCGTGCATATAAATGTTACAAAACGTTGGAATGTCTTGTTTGAAACAGCACGCACACACACGCGCACGCACGCACGCACGCACGCACGCACACACACGCACGCACGCACGCACACACACACTTGTAGATGCGCATGCAGATTTTATTCACATTACGGGTCGGTAAAGAAAGTATTTTGTTAGCAACTACTAGAATGCCGATCGAACAATTTGACACACACACACACACTTGTAGATGCGCATGCAGATTTTATTCACATAAAGGGTTCGTAAAGAAAGTATTTTGTTAGCAACTACTAGAATGCCGATCAAACAATTTCATATAACAAGGGCGGATACATTTTTTTTTGAGAAAGGGTGGGGTAGGGTGGGGGATGCACACTATTGAGAAAAGGAGGGGTGCACACTTCATTTTCACCCGAGTTTCAATGGTCATTTAACAAACTTTCAGCACAAAGGGGTGGGGGGTGCGCACCTCTGCACCACCTCTGGATGCGCCTACTGAGTCAAAAAAGAAACTTCACATTCTTTCTTCAGGTCACTATAAAAGAACAAGAGATGGTCAGATGGTTAAATTGTTATTATTTCATTGCTGAGATCTGTGTGATGTACTCGATACACTGACAGTGCCATAATCAGTTCCATTAGGCTACACCGCCGTTCCAAAACATGGGTATACAGAATGTCAAGTCACAAGAATAAAAATGCGAAATTTCTCAGTTCAATATCGTGTATGGCCGCCCCGCGCATTCACCACTGCCAAACACTGTCTCCTCATCGACTGCCTGATGCTTGTGAACACGTGGTTGGGGATTCTGCGCCATTGCTCTTGCAAGGCAGCGCCAAGTTCCTGCAAATTCTGAGGTTGGTTCCTAAGACCACGAAGCCTTCTCCCAAGTGCATCCCAAACGTGCTCTATTGGATTAAGGTCAGGGGACCTCGATGGCCAGTCCATGACGTTGATTCCAGCGTTTTGAAGGAAATTTCGTGTCAACATCGCGGTATGCGGCCGAGCATTATCATGCTGGAACTGTAGACCTGGGCCATGAGCTGCCATGAAAGGAACGAGTTCAGGGGTGAGCACCTGGTCGCGGTAAGCAGCAGCTGTGAGGTTTCCACGGATGACCAGAAGTAGGGTAGGGTTGTTCCCACAGAAAGCACCCCACACCATGCAACTTCCGCCCCCGAATCTGTCGACTTCCTGTACACAACATTGGGCATACCGTTCACGACGTCGTCTCCAGACTCTATGCCTGCCGTCCTCGAATCTGAGAGTAAAACTGGATTCATCGCTAAAGACGACTCGATTCCAGTCTCTCTGGGTCCATCGGAGGTGACGTAGGACGATTTGACGGTCTTCTGCTCGTGACGTCACACGTGGACGACCCGACCTTGGGCGATCAGAAATGGTGCCAGTTTGTTGTAAACGACCTCGCAAGTCATACACAGTACGACGGCTGCATCCCATTGCTCTTGCGACGTCAATAACTGTTCTTCCCGCTTGTAACATGCCAACGGCACGTTCACGTTGCACATTTGACAATCGTGGCATTTCAAGTACCGTTAGAACTGTGGTTTAAAAGTGTCTTTTCAATTCTTGAGGCCAATGGAAACACGTGCTTATGAAGAAAACTTCGATGCGAAGATCACGTGATCGACTGCACGTGCAAAACCTGATTTGGCACTAACGTCATTTGCACGACGACTTGATAGGTTTGAGTGGGTTTTGCTAACGTGTTTCTAGAGTCGAATGATAGGGATCCCATTTCGGATACATAGATGTATAATCAGAGAAAAATTATTCATTATTTTTCAAATTACATTTTGTGAAGTTTCTTTTTGGACTCAGTAAATAAGCACTGTAAACAAAGCATGGCCGTCGTCTCGCATCTATGACGTCACAGCCCGACTTCGCCCAAAGCTGGGATTACAATATGCTAACCCGTTGAAATGAAAGCACATGACCATTTTGAGTTTGTGAATGTATCACTATTTTGACGCTTATAACATATTTCATGAAGTTGTGAATCTATATATCTCCTTTAAAACATTTAATACTGATCCCACTGAAATACCCTTTAAATCTATGAAATCTTAATTTAAAATGTTACCACTTTCAGGTTCCACTGCTTAAGGGGTGTTTGTTTGAAAAAAATTAAAATACAAAAATGGAAATAATGCATAGAAAATAAATGGCTTTCCTTCACAAATTTCCTTCACAAATCGCCCGCATATATTTTGAGAGGAGTTTGACACAAAGACGCACAATGTTTATGTCTTGTTTGTGACCTTGTAGGTTCTGATTGCTGACTGCGCTTCCCGAATATCATACAGCCGTCAGTCATTCGAACCAATCTGTATCCGTTTCCTTGACAATCAAAACATGTGATAATTTTGCCCAGATAAACCACATTTAATTTATTCAAGTACCTTTATTAATTTACATCTCACGTAATTTCCTTATAAACATTTTTCTTATTGTTGATGAGTGTTTTTATATCGTTTTGAAGCGGCAAGTGTATGTGTGTTTTACTTAAATCATGAGTCTCTTACTTGTTTCTCCAGCCTTTTAGGATGGAGCCCAAATTTCCTTTTAGATAACAAGATATGATAAGAAACTGTGCAATGGTTCTTTAACATTCACCCTTTCTACAGTCTTACATTACATTTGTGACGTCATTCCATTGTTTGCTCATTCCATTTCTTTTCGGGAATGGAGCGATGTGTACCAGTTTCAAATTAAAGCCTTCATTTTGTCATTTTGACATTTAATTTTGATAACAGAAATATCCCCAGTTCTTTGAATGTAATTTAAGCAGGGTAATATCCTCGTAACTCTGCATTCCTTAAAACAATGTGCCTCGGCTCCATTATTTTTAAGGAATGGAGAGTTACTCGGACATTACCCTCTACAAAACACCATTGTGTGGGAATTTGGCATGTTGAACTTGCAGCTGTCTCGAGAGTAAAGCTTTGCCCTTTCCTAGTCATTGTCCAGTCGTCACTTTACAGCTGTGTCGTACTTCGGATATTTCGACGTATTTGTTCACTTGTCGAACTGGATGAAACTCGAGATTAGGGAAGTACGTTAGCTCTTGTGTCCGTATTTGGCTTGTGTGAGATCGAAAGCAAAGAAATATTCGCTTTATCTACACCCCGCCTAACATCCATACTCCAGCAATATAGTCTGTAAATAATCCCGTCTGGACCAGACATTCAAATGATGACACCGTGAACAGAGATCTACGCAGCTGGGAAGCGATGATATGTGTTTAACGGTCAACCGATCCCGTTAGTCGCCTCTAACGACAAGCATGGGTTCCTGAAGACCAATTCTAACTCAGATCTTTACAGGTTGTTCGGGAGCATTTCCTGATCTGCAAATAGGAATACGCTTTCCTGTAAGGAGCGTAGCTACCATTATAAAAAAAGCCCGGGCTTACACACGGTTGTTGCTAAAAGGTTAGGCAAGCCTTCAATACTATCTAAATATAAAGCTTTGCAACCTATCGGGCTTACACGAAAATATTGGCCTGCTACGCGCCTACCTATGTTCATGAAATTTTGAAATTAACTCAATCAAATCTGTGATAAGATAATAGCAGTGGCTAAGATGCTAGCCAAGTTTTAAATATATTAAGCATTTCTGAAGGTGCCGATCTTCACCCGGACCAATGCTTGGTTTAAACGGTTCCAGGTTCATCTTTTGTAACAGTTGGTAAGAGATCATGAATTGTATCAATACGTTAGTTACAAGTTTGGGTATTTGTCACACATTGAATTATCACCGGTTACATCAGTAGGTTGTTAACGTTCCTGAAACTGGGTAAACTATGTTCCAGGTAATGTGGAGGATGGATTATTCTGTTGCTAGGCGATCTGTTTACAGGATCTTTGCTGTGTAGTTGATATCTCAGGTTCTGTCTTTGATCATAAATGCTTTTATTTGCTTCATGAATATTTGTATCACATTTCTACTTGCGTCGATTTTTTTTGAATATTTGAAGCTTTCAGATTTTAGCCTTTTTCAATGTTAATATTGTTAGATGAAAACGTACTGGCTAGCGAACAGTTGGTGGTTTATTTGGTGGTTTATTTCAGAAAAGTAAGTAATTATAGACCATAGGCCCAGGTTACACTTTGAGAATTACAGAGTGAGAAAGTATGTTATAATGAAGACTGTCTCAGTAACATAGCTTGATATATATATGCTGATAAATGTTTTTATAAATGTTATCGAGAAAGAGGTTATCGCCGCGTACCAGTTATGGCCAATACATCAGTATCACACGTGCGCAGTTCCCATCAGTTACAGGGGGCGGTGGGGTAGCCTAGTGGTTAAAGCGTTCGCGCCTCACGCCGAAGGCCCGGATTCGATTCCCCACATGTTTCATTAATTTAACGCACGGCTGAGTCATTTTGTAAATACCGCTAAAATAGTTTAATTGGGTTTCATGTGTACGACATGTGTTGTGTCACGAAATGTGCCAATGTTTAACATACCTTTAGGCTTTGAATGTACCGTTACAAATCTGACCAACAGACGTTCACAATTCAAAATGTCTAAAGCTTTGGATATACTCAAATCATTTCTTTAACCGGAACCTTAGAAGCCTAACAGATGGATTTCATGTATTTTCTGCTTTTTGCAGGATGTTTTATGAATGTTAAAAATATATAAAACCATTTGCATAAAACTATCTTCCACAGAAGCTAAGCATCTGCTTTATCATTTTCCGAAAGCTATAAATCTTTGTATGATGAGAAATGTTGCTACTTATCTAATATAACACGCCATTGCAGATACAC